ATATTTAATTAATATTTAATTTGAAAATAATTTAAAAAAATGATAAATAAATAAATTAAATGGAATAAATAATAATTAATAAGTAAGAAAAAATGAAAAAAAATGAATAAAAATTAATTAAAAAAAAATAAATAAAAAAAAATAAAAAATTTTTAAATAAATAATATAAATTTTTTAAAAAAAAAAATAAGAAAAAAAAAATAATTTAAATTAAATTATTAATTAAAATATCTTGGGTAGCGTAATCGGCAGCGCGTTTGACTGTTAATCAAAAGGTTGGAGGTTCGAGCCCTCCCCCGAGAGTTATTTTTTTTATCTTTTTTTTTATTTTTTTGGATTTTATTTCAAATTAATCTAAATAATAAAAATAATTAAATATTATTAATAAATATAATTTAATTTTAAATATATTTTTTAATTCAAAAAAAAGTGGAATAAATATATTTTAGTTAATAAATATTAATAATTAAATTTATTTTATTTAATTTTATTTTTTGATTTTATTTCAAATTAATTTAAATAATAAAAATAATTAAATATTATTAATAAATATAATTTAATTTTAATTATATTTTTTAATTCAAAAAAAGTGGAATAAAAATATTTTAATAAATAAATATTAATAATTAAATTTATTTTTTTAATTTCATTTTTGATTTTATTTCAAATTAATTTAAATAATAAAAATAATTAAATATTATTAATAAATATAATTTAATTTTAATTATATTTTTTAATCAAAAAAAAGTGGAATAAAAATATTTTAGTAAATAAATATTAACAATTAAATTTATTTTATTTAATTTTATTTTTGATTTTATTTCAAATTAATTTAAATAATAAAAATAATTAAATATTATTAATAAATATAATTTAATTTTAAATATATTTTTAATTCAAAAAGTGGAATAAATATATTTTAGTTAATAAATATTAATAATTAAATTTATTTTATTTAATTTTATTTTTGATTTTATTTCAAATTAATTTAAATAATAAAAATAATTAAATATTATTAAATAAATATATTATTTAATTTTTAAATTATATTTTTAATTAAAAAAGTGGAATAAAAATATTTTTAGTTAATAAATATTAATAATTAATTTTATTTTATTTAATTTTATTTTTGATTTTTATTTCAAATTAATTTAAATAATAAAAATAATTAAATATTATTAATAAATATAATTTAATTTTAAATATATTTTTTAATTCCAAAAAAAGTGTAATAAAAATATTTTAATAAATAAATATTAATAATTAAATTTATTTTTTAATTTCATTTTTTGATTTTAATTTCAAATTAATTTAAATAATAAAAATAATTAAATATTATTAATAAATATAATTTAATTTTAAATTATATTTTTTAATCAAAAAAAAGTGGAATAAAAATATTTTAATTAAATAAATATTAATATTTAAATTTATTTTTTATTTAATTTTATTTTTGATTTTATTTCAAATTAATCTAAATAATAAAAATAATAAATAATATTTTTAATGGAATAAAAATATTTTAATTTATTAATTTTAAATTTATTTTTAATTTAAAAAATAAAAATAATTAAAATAAAAATATTTTAATATAATAAATATAAATAATTAAATTTATTTTATTTTGTTATTTTTGGATTTTATTTCAAATTAATTTAAATAATAAAATAATTAAATATTATTAATAAATATAATTTAATTTTAATTATATTTTTAATTCAAAAAAAGTGGAATAAAAATATTTTAATTAATAAATATTAATATTTAAATTTATTTTATTTAATTTTATTTTTGGATTTTATTTCAAATTAATATAAATAATAAAAATAATTAAATATTATTAATAAATATAATTTAATTTTAATTATATTTTTTAATTCAAAAAAAGTGGAATAAAAATATTTTAATTAAATAAATATTAATAATTAAATTTATTTTTATTTAATTTTATTTTTTATTTTTGATTTTATTTCAAATTAATCTAAATAATAAAATAATTAAATATTATAAATAAATATAATTTAATTTTAAATATATTTTTAATTCAAAAAGTGGAATAAAAATATTTTAATAAATAAATATTAATAATTAAATTTATTTTTATTTAATTTTATTTTTTGGATTTTAATTTCAAATTAATTTAAATAATAAAAATAATTAAATATTATTAATAAATATAATTTAATTTTAAATATATTTTTAATTCAAAAAGTGGAATAAAAATATTTTAATAAATAAATATTAACAATTAAATTTATTTTATTTAATTTTATTTTTTGATTTTATTTCAAATTAATCTAAATAATAAAAATAATTAAATATTATTAATAAATATAATTTAATTTTAAATATATTTTTTAATTCAAAAAAAGTGGAATAAAAATATTTTAATAAATAAATATTAATAATTAAATTTATTTTATTTAATTTTATTTTTATTTTATTTCAAATTAATTTAAATAATAAAAATAATTAAATATTATAAATAAATATAATTTAATTTTAAGTATATTTTTTAATCAAAAAAAGTGGAATAAAAATATTTTTAATAAATAAATATTAATAATTAAATTTATTTTATTTAATTTTATTTTTATTTTATTTCAAATTAATATAAATAATAAAAATAATTAAATATTATTAATAAATATAATTTAATTTTAAATATATTTTTAATTCAAAAAAAAGTGGAATAAAAATATTTTAATTAATAAATAAATATTAATATTTAAATTTATTTTATTTAATTTTTATTTTTGGATTTAATTTCAAATTAATATAAATAATAAAAATAATTAAATATTATTAATAAATATAATTTAATTTTAATTATATTTTTAATTCAAAAAGTGGAATAAATATTTTAATCAAAAATAAATTAATATTTAATTAATATTTAATAAATATTTAATTTGAAAATAATTAATAAATAATTCAAAATAAAAAAATATTTAATTAATATTTGATATTTATTATTAAAATAATTTATATTAATTTAAATAAAAAAAAGTGAAATAAATATTTTAATCAAAAATAAATAAATATTTAATTAATATTTAATTAATATTTAATTTGGAATTAATTTATAAATAATTCAAAATAAAAAAATATTTAATTAATATTTAATATTTATTATTAAAATAATTTATATTAATTTAAATAAAAAGTGGAATAAATATTTTAATCAAAAATAAATTAATATTTAATTAATATTTAATTAATATTTAATTTGAAAATAATTATTAAATAATCCAAAACAAAAAATATTTAATTAATATTTAATATTTATTATTAAAATAATTTATATTAATTTAAATAAAAAAAAGTGGAATAAATATTTTAATCAAAAATAAATTAATATTTAATTAATATTTTATTAATATTTAATTTGAAAATAATTTATAAATAATCCAAAAATAAAAAAATATTTACTTAATATTTAATATTTATTATTAAAATAATTTATATTAATTTAAATAAAAAAAAGTGGAATAAATATTTTAATCAAAAATAAATTAATATTTAACTAATATTTAATTAATATTTAATTTGAAAATAATTAATAAATAATTCAAAAATAAAAATATTTAATTAATATTTAATATTTATTATTAAAATAATTTATATTAATTTAAATAAAAAGTGGAATAAATATTTTAATCAAAAATAAATTAATATTTAATTAATATTTAATTAATATTTAATTTGAAAATAATTAATAAATAATTCAAAACAAAAAATATTTAATTAATATTTAATATTTATTATTAAAATAATTTATATTAATTTAAATAAAAAGTGAAATAAATATTTTAATCAAAAATAAATTAATATTTAATTAATATTTAATTAATATTTATTATTAAAATAATTAATAAATAATCCAAAAACAAAAAAATATTTAATTAATATTTAATATTTATTATTAAAATAATTTATATTAATTTAAATAAAAAAGTGGAATAAATATTTTAATCAAAAATAAATTAATATTTAACTAATATTTAATTAATATTTAATTTGAAAATAATTTGAAAATAATCCAAAACAAAAATATTTAATTAATATTTAATATTTATTATTAAAATAATTTATATTAATTTAAATAAAAAAAAGTGGAATAAATATTTTAATCAAAAATAAATAAATATTTAATTAATATTTAATTAATATTTATTATTAAAATAATTAATAAATAATCCAAAACAAAAAATATTTAATTAATATTTAATATTTATTATTAAAATAATTTATATTAATTTAAATAAAAAGTGGAATAAATATTTTAATCAAAAATAAATAAATATTTAATTAATATTTAATTAATATTTAATTTGAAAATAATTAATAAATAATCCAAAACAAAAATATTTAAATTAATATTTAATATTTATTATTAAAATAATTTATATTAATTTAAATAAAAAAAGTGGAATAAATATTTTAATCAAAAATAAATTAATATTTAATTAATATTTAATTAATATTTAATTTGAAAATAATTAATAAATAATTCAAAACAAAAAAATATTTAATTAATATTTATTATTTATTATTAAAATATTTTATATTAATTTAAATAAAAAAAGTGGAATAAATATTTTAATCAAAATTTAATTAATATTTAATTAATATTTAATTTGAAAATAATTAATAAATAATTCAAAACAAAAAAATATTTAATTAATATTTAATATTTATTATTAAAATAATTTATATTAATTTAAATAAAAAAAAGTGGAATAAATATTTTAATCAAAAATAAATTAATATTTAATTAATATTTAATTTGAAAATTAATTTAAAAAAAATGATAAAAAATGAATTAAATGGAATAAATAATAATTAATAAGTAAGAAAAAATGAAAAAAAATGAATAAAAATTAATTAAAAAAAAATAAATAAAAAAAAATAAAAAATTTTTAAATTAATAATATAAATTTTTTAAAAAAAAAAATAAGAAAAAAAAAATAATTTAAATTAAATTATTAATTAAAATATCTTGGGTAGCGTAATCGGCAGCGCGTTTGACTGTTAATCAAAAGGTTGGAGGTTCGAGCCCTCCCCCGAGAGTTATTTTTTTTATCTTTTTTTTTATTTTTTTTTGATTTTATTTCAAATTAATCTAAATAATAAAAATAATTAAATATTATTAATAAATATAATTTAATTTTAAATATATTTTTTAATTCAAAAAAAAGTGGAATAAAAATATTTTAATTAATAAATATTAATAATTAAATTTATTTTATTTAATTTTATTTTTGATTTTATTTCAAATTAATTTAAATAATAAAAATAATTAAATATTATAAATAAATATAATTTAATTTTAAATATATTTTTAATTCAAAAAGTGGAATAAAAATATTTTAATTAATAAATATTAATAATTAAATTTATTTTATTTAATTTTATTTTTTGATTTTATTTCAAATTAATTTAAATAATAAAAATAATTAAATATTATTAATAAATATAATTTAATTTTAAATATATTTTTTAATTCAAAAAAAAAGTGGAATAAAAATATTTTAATTAATAAATATTAATAATTAAATTTATTTTATTTAATTTTATTTTTTGATTTTATTTCAAATTAATTTAAATAATAAAAATAATTAAATATTATTAATAAATTTATAATTTTATTTAAATATATTTTTTATTTTTATAATTTAATTTTAAATATATTTTTTTCATTTTTTTTTTAGTTTTTCATTTTTTTCATTTTTTTCTTTTTAAAAATGAATGATGTTTGGATTTTTGGTTTCAATAATTTACTTTCATTCACAGAATACAAATTTTCTTTCCATAATCCTACTCCAATTCAATTTAAATTTGAAAATGAAAATGAAAATGAAAATGAAAAACAAATTAAACAAATTTCATCAGGAAATTATTCAACAATTTTCCTTTTTAAAAATGGAAAAGCAATAGAATACTTAAGATATTCAAATCAAAATCCTCAAAAAATCCAAATTGAAGAAAATATTCAAAAAGTAACTGTTGGCTCTTGGAATGAAGCTATTTTAACAATAGAAGGAAATGTATTTGCCAAAGGAAAAAATATTAATCCACAAAATCCAAAAGAATTTATCAATATTTCATCATTAATTGAAGATAAAAATGATAGAATAATTGAAGATATTGTTTCTGGAGATAATTCAATTTATTTATTAACTTCAAATCAAAATGCTTATGGAATTGGTTCAAATCAAGATGGTCGAACTTGGTTTTGATTCTGAAACACTCAAAAAAACAGAAAAACCAATTTTAATGATGAAAAATGTTTCTAAAATATTTTCAGGAAATATTTCAATTCATGTTTTTCTTTTAAATTCAAATCAAGAATTATTTGGATGTGGAAATAATCAATATGGTCAACTTGGATTGGGAGAATCAAGAATAAAAGAAATCAAAAAATTAACCAAAATCCAAAATATTCCAAAAGGCAAAATAATTGATATTCAATCTGGATTTAATCATTCAATAATGTTGATTGAAATTGAAAATCAAAAAAGAAAAATTTATTCATGCGGAGATCATCGATTAAACGGACTTGGCAAAAATAAACATGTTCACGAATTTACTGAAATCAAATCATCTTTATTTGAAGAAGATGATGATATTCTTGATTTTTCTGTTGGAAATGCTCATACTTTGATTTTAACTTTCAATAAGAAAATGATAGGATTTGGAAAAAATTCTTATAGCTCAATTAGGAACTGGAGATAGAAATACACAATTAATTCCAATTCAAATTGAACTTCCTAAATTAAGATTTAATGAAGATATTTCCAATTATCATGTTTCTTGTTCAGAAAATAATTCATTTCTTTATTATTCTCCTCCTTCTTTTTCCAATCTTGAAGGAGATTTGATAAAATTATTTGAAAGAAAAGAATTTTGTAATATTTCATTTAAAACAGAAAATGGAGAAATAATCAAAGCTCATAAATTAATATTAAAATATAGATTAAATCAAAATGAAAATGAAAATCAAATTGAAAAACTTCAAGAAATTATTTCAAAAAAATCAATTAAAGAATCAAATCAAATATTTGAAATGATTTATTCAAACAATTCCAAAATAAATCCAAAACTATATTCTGAAATTAAAGAAATTATAAATTCCAATGAAAAAATTGAAGAAACAATGAAAAGAATTTATTTAAATGAAAATGAAAATGAAAAAGATTTTATAATTGAAAGAAATGAAAAGAAATATAAATTTCCTAAATTAATATTAATAATGAGAAGTGAATTATATCGAGGAATGTTTTTATCTGTAACAAATGATAATTCAAATAAAGTTACAGATTATAGTGAATTAAGTAATAAATCATTTCAAATATTTGAATATTACACAAGAAATCATTCAAGAATTAGAAATTGGAATTGATTATTTTCAATTAAATCAAACAAATCCAAATTTATTTGATTTATTAATTAATAAATTTAATAATCAAAATTAAAATTAAAATTAAAATTAAAATTAAAATTAAAATTAAAATTAAAATTAAAATCAAAATTAAAATTAAAATTAAAATCAAAATTAAAATTAAAATTAAAAATTAAAATTAAAATCAAAATTAAAATCAAAATTAAAATTAAAATTAAAATTAAAAATCAAAATCAAAATTAAAATTAAAATTAAATTAAAATTAAAATTAAAATTAAAATTAAAATTAAAATTAAAATTAAAATTAAAATTAAAATTAAAATTAAAATTAAAATTAAAATTAAAATTAAAATTAAAATTAAAATTAAAATTAAAATTAAAATTAAAATTAAAATTAAAATTAAAATCAAAATTAAAATCAAAATTCCAAAATTCATTTTTTCATTTTTTTCATTTTCAAAAATGAATGATTGCTTATTTTTTGGTTACAATAAATATCCAAAACTTATAAAAAATAAACCAGATAAAATAACAAACCCAATTCAATTTAAATTTGAAAATGAAAATGAAAATGAAAATGAAAATGAAAATGAAAATGAAAATGAAAATGAAAATGAAAATGAAAATGAAAATGAAAATGAAAAAAATGAAAATGAAAATGAAAATGAAAATGAAAATGAAAATGAAAAACAAATTAAACAAATTTCAACAGGACATTTCTCAACAATTTTCCTTTTCAAAAATGGAAAAGCAATAGAATATTTAAATGAAAATAATTCAATTCTAAATGTGGAAAAAATCCAAATTAAAAATATTCAAAAAGTAGCTGTTGGTTATTATAATGAAGCTATTTTAACAAAAGAAGGAAATGTATTTGCCAAAGGAAAAAATATTAATCCAAAAAATCCAAAAAAATTTATCAATATTTCATCATTAATTGAAGATAAAAATGATAGAGTAATTCAAGATATTGTTTCTGGTTCTAGTTCAATTTACTTATTAACTTCAAATCAAAATGCTTATGGAATTGGTGATAGTTATTTTGGTCAACTTGGTTTGAATAAGCCTAATAAAACAAAAAAACCAATTTTAATGATGAAAAATATTTCTAAAATATTTTCAGGAAATTCTTCAATTCATGTTTTTCTTTTAAATTTAAATCAAGAATTATTTGGATGCGGATATAATTATTATGGTCAACTTGGATTAGGAGAATCAATTCAGACTTCACGTTTCTCGAAATTAACCAAAATCCAAAATATTCCAAAAGGTAAAATAATTGATATTCAATGTGGAAACAATTTTTCAGCCATGCTGATTGAAGATGAAAATCGAACTCAAATTCAAACTCAAAATCAAATTCAAATTCAAAATCAAATTCAAAATCAAAATCAAAATCAAAATCAAAATCAAAATCAAAATCAAAATCAAAATCAAAATCAAAATCAAAATGAAATTCAAAATCAAAATCAAAATGAAATGGAAAATCAAATTGAAAATCAAAATCAAAATCAAAATTTAAATCAAAATCAAAATCAAAATCAAAATCAAAATCAAAATCAAATTCAAATTCAAATTCAAAATCAAAATCAAAATCAAAATCAAAATCAAAATCAAAATCAAAATCAAAATTCAAATCAAAATCAAAATCAAAATCAAAATCAAAATCAAAATCAAAATCAAAATCAAAATTCAAACTCAAAATCAAAATCAAAATCAAAATCAAAATCAAAATCAAAATCAAAATCAAAATCAAAATCAAAATCAAAATCAAAATCAAAATCAAAATCAAAATCAAAATCAAAATCAAAATCAAAATCAAAATCAAAATCAAAATCAAAATCAAAATCAAAATCAAAATCAAAATCAAAATCAAAATCAAAATCAAAATCAAAATTTAAATCAAAATTTAAATCAAATTCAAAATCAAAATCAAAATCAAAATCAAAATCAAAATCAAAATGAAAATCAAAATCAAAATCAAAATCAAAATCAAAATCAAAATCAAAATCAAAATCAAAATCAAATTCAAACTCAAAATCAAATTCAAAATCAAAATTTAAATCAAAATCAAAATCAAAATTTAAATCAAATTCAAAATCAAAATCAAAATCAAAATCAAAATCAAAATCCAAAAAGAAAACTTTATTCATGTGGAAATTCAGGTTTCAATGGATTAAATAAACCAGAAGAATCCACAAAAAAATTTACAGAAATGGATATATTTTTATTTGATAGTGATAATATTCTTGAAATTTCTTGTGGAGGATTTCATACTTTGATTTTAACTTTCAATAAGAAAATGATTGGATTTGGAGATAATTCTTTTGGTCAAATCGGGATGGAGGAAACTCAAATCTTTCAGGAATACATCAGAATTCCAATTCAAATTGAACTTCCTAAATTAAGATTTAATGAAAATATTTCTAATTATCATATTTCTTGTGGAGAATTCAATTCATTTCTTTATTATTCTCCTCCTTCTTTTTCCAATCTTGAAGAAGATTTGATAAAATTATTTGAAGAAGAAAAGAATTTTGTGATATTTCATTTAAAACCGAAAATGGAGAAATAATTGAAGCTCATAAATTAATATTGAAATATAGATTAAATCAAAATGAAAATCAAATTGAAAAACTTCAAGAAATTATTTCAAATAAATCAATTA